CCGCGCCTGTCCCTTCAGGGCCATGGGAAAGAAATTCGCCATGACCCTGTCATCACCCCCGGCGGCCTCGATCCCGGTCGTGTAGACCTGGAGAAACTCGGCGGGGTTGACGCTCCCGTCATATTTTTCGGTGATGGTGGGCCGGAACCTTGGGGGCCAACGGACGTTCCGAAGGCTCGCCATAAAGGCTCTACAGCCAACACCACCAACCGGGGGCACGGAGGGCTGATCCCCGCGTCCGTGTTGAGGTGACACTCCGGACGAGGAGGCGCCCTCCGTTGCGTGGGCAGCACGTCGACCATTACGCCGGCGCTCGATACCGATGCGGGCACCTGGCCCCCCACGCTGATCTTCCCGGGTCGGAGGTGCTGACGAGGGAGTGGCGGCCGAATGGCGAGCAATAGCCGCCGCTCGCCGCGCCCTCCGCCTTGACGACACGGAACCGGTGGTAGCAGCGCCATAGGTCTTGGTAGCGGAGGACCGCCCACCAACACCTAGGCGCTGCCGTGCCATCATGACCAAGTTGGCCATGTCGTCCAGCCAACGTTGGGCTGGAGACTCCGGGTCAGGGACGACGGGCGGGTGACGTAGGAGCGCGCCCGCAGCTTGGACCGCGCCCTGGGGCGTGCTGTCGTCGCCGTAGACGAGGAGGCGACGCTCCCCATCTCGCCGCTCTTCTCCATCACCCGTGGATGTCGAAGTCGCGGATCCTTCGATCCTCTCCAGCGCCTCCTCCCGCCTAGGACTTTGGCGCGGAGGGGGCGGTGGAGTACGAGCTCGACGGCGTGGGTTTGGCTCCCCGTCGTCACCGCTAACACTCGGAGAGAGGTTGCGCACCTTTGCTTGCTCGGCCATTGGGCTGAACAGGAAAAGCTTGGCGCGCACGAAAGAGTATGAGGGCTTAGAAAATCACACGCGCCCCCTACCTGGCGCGCCAGATGACGGAGCGTGGGGCTCCTCACCGGGAGACCGCGCAGGCCCCCCTTTGCCGGTTCGGCCGGGGACGCTAAGTGAAGTTCTAAGCTCTCAATCTGTGGAATGTTCGCGAAAGTGGAAACGCATAAGACACGGACGATGTATACAGGTTCGGGCCGCTGAGAAGCGTAATACCCTACTCCTGTGTTCTGGTGGATCTGTGTATGAAGAAGCTACAAAGAGCTGGAGAGCAAGAGAGTTCAAACTCTAGAGACCCTCTTCCTCTTTCTCTCCCAGCTCTCGTCTTTTGGTCCTCCCTTTTTTTCGGATCCCCCCTCTAAGTGGGCAAGGTCCTCCTTTTATATATCAAGGGGATACCACATGCACCACTTCTACCTATCTCTCCTTTCGGTGGGGACCCATCCTCTTTTTCCTAAAACTTGGCCCGTCCTTCCTTCATAAATGGGCGGAGATTTGCAATGGTTGCTGTCCGAGTGATCCTTCTGATGGGACAGCCCATACCTACCTCCACTCCGCCGGAAGCAGGTGCAACATGGGATCATGACCGTTCTTGTCCACCACGCGTCAGTTTACCAATCTGCATGTTCGCCCTTCTTCATACAATGTCTTGCTTTTAATGGTTGCGATGAAGCCTGGCATATATCTGACCGGGACCAACGTGCCATCTCCAGGAGCTAGCACGCTGGCTCCGGCTAGGGACGAGTGCCTGGAGGCTCTCATCCTGACGGGACGGGGCGAGGCGTGTGTCAGATCGCCTGTTGCCACCTAACCCGCGATCTGACCGGTCTGTGACCGGTCACAGACCGGATAAACGAGTGCGCTGCACTGCGTTACATGCAGCGTGACGCGCTCGTCCAAACCGCAATAAATGCGGTTAGGTGAGCCCCGCTGTGCCCACCTAACTCATACACGCGGCGCAAAACCCACAAGGGGTCGGGGCGCCTCGGCCCTCGGGGCCGAAACGGGAGCGGTCCGACCCCTCGGGGAGACAAAGAGAGGGGCGGTCATACCACCCTCGGGCCCGACCCCCCTCCCCCCCCGAGGGGGTCAGGCCACGTGGGTGATTGCTCCTGCCCAAGCCTCTAGTCATGATACTCCCGATCCCATGTCACCGACAGTAATTTAGGGACTTACAATGTAAATACATGCTGAATACTTTTTATGAAAGATATGGCGATACATTTATAAGAAAAAAAATCAATAATATGGCTTTAGCATTCATCCATTTATGGATAATCATTACGGAAATTTAGATTTATTATTTCTGTATTAATAGACAGATCCTTTTTTTATTCCTAAATTTCATTATTTTTCCTCAAAAAACCTCATAGGTTTCTACGGAGTAACGGAGTGTCTCGTAGATCTGTAATTAGAACAGTTCTAACAGTAATTAAGTCATTTTCAGGTATGTTTTCTCTTTTACTTCTTTTTTTCAGTTATTTTATACATATCCTATTGGCATCTAGTAAACCGCTATTCCCTCCGTCACAAAATATAAGAACCTAGGCTCCTATCCGTCTAGATTCGTAGTACTTGAAAATGTCCCATCATGTCCTAGGTTTTATATTTTGGGACGGATAGAGTATACTTTGGTTATTACACGCAATTGAGTGAGAGCTTTTTATAATTATTTTTGCAGTATTTAAAGTGTATATATATAAATTAAATAAGGATTAGGTCTATGTACCCCCAATTGATGCGAGGGTTATGCCTCCATTCTAATTCAGGTGAATGTTTATCCTTAATCAAATCCATACTGTGTATCGATACCAATATACCATGCATCATCCTTTCCTCGGTGTGTCCCACACATTTTGCACGACATTAATTATTATTTCTTAGTAGCCATATATATCTATTGTTTTTTCTTTCAAATCATGCATGGACAGTCGCTATATATAGTATACCGGTAGCTCCAGTGTTTGTATCAGCGAGTTTGTTGCTCCAGAAAAAGAAAAAAAAAGAGGAAATAATGTGCCAAGATGCATTAGCTTGAACTCAACTGTCGCTTAATTGATTTGAGCAAATCAGAACAAACCTTGTAGGACGCAGATGTGTGACCCGTCCGTCCAATCCATTGCACGGATTGGAATCAGGTGCAGTCACTACAGTAACTACAACTTTAGCAGTAGCAACTAATGCAACCATCCAGCTAGTAAGGAACGCTCAGATTTGATTGTCTCCTTCCTCATTTAGCTATTTGAACATGAAATACTAGCACAGTTATTTTTCATCTGATAAGAAATTTAATACTACTTATTTAGATGTTTAAAAGAAGCTTGGCATTTATTTTAAGGGCTTGAAGTAGAGCTCGTATTTTGATGTAACTCTCCTTTAAATTTATTATGTGACTCATGCTCTGTTCAACTAAGAAACATTAATCCTGTTGTTTTTCTTTAAAGTTTTTTTTTCCGAACGGAACATTTTCTTTACAAGTTATCAATAGAAGCTTCACACTGATTTACGTGAAGATTTTGGAGTAGTAGCTTAGTTTTTTTTTTTGACTTAGTGGATGCATTATTCCCAAACACGGGGAGAAGTTAAACTCACTAGCTCATTTATCAGTGCCATGTACAATTGTGCAAAATATTATTGAAGTGAAGTATGTGTGTATTTTGTTTATAAACTACATTTGATTCCTCTCAAACTTGAGAAAGTTGAGATAAAGAAAAGGAGAAAACATTTCATGTTTAAATAGCTAAAAGGAGGGAGCATAGACAGTTAATCCTGTACGTTCCTTACCTGTTGGATGGTGGATCCGTGGCTACTGCCAAAGTTGCAGTCACTCCCAATCCCCATTGCACGCCTGCCCTGTAGTGCAAATCATATCATATTAATTTGTTTTTACAATTGCATAATTGCATTGCAGCGATATATACGACGAAGCAAATATAAAAGAGACCGAGTCAATGGTGGCAACGTGATGTGCAACTTGGAGGACGACTTGTGTTACATAGGGCTTACATTTGTTTCTTTCTTCATCTTCCTTTTCTTTTCTTAAAAAAACAAACATGAGGACAAAGCCTGCATTGTCAGATAGGTTTCACACTCACACCTATGGCTATACTTTAGTTTGGCTATCAACTCTCAAGTCGACGAGGCACATGCTATCTGGACTTCCAACTTTTGTCGTCCGAGCAGAAAAGAAAATTATTGTTTGCCGGCGAGAGAAGCACACAGACCACTATATTGAATCTTTTTTATAATTCTCATTTAATATTTCATTAGTTCTCTTTGATAATTGAAAAATATTGAAATTGTCAAGTGTCAACCATTCTTTGATAATAATTTGAGGGTGAATAGCCAATCTAGTCCCTCAAGTTTTACCAGACGCTAAAGTTAGTCCTTCAGGTTTTATTTTGTACATATAAATCCTTTAAAAGTATTTATTTTGGTTTAAAATTATTCTTGGACCCACTTAATATGCCACATGGATATTTCTAGTCAACGTTTCTATTAGAAAATTTTCCCTTTGCCCTTAATATGCATACATTAGAAAAGAGATAAACAATATGAATAAATAGCACTGCAGATGTACTTCCTATTATTTCAACATGTGCACATAAAGGTTGAGCTTAATGGCTATCATATATACACTTGGAAGCACGTACTTATTTTCATTTTACATAAACTACTATGCATTATCTATAAACAAATTCATTGCATGCAAATTTCAATGAAAAAAGACTATGTTTAGCTATGTGGTTTCTAAGTGGATTTAAAAATAAATTTGAACTAAAATGAAAATTTGAAGGTATAGCATGGATAGACTAAAAGATTAAGGACTAAACTGAGTCTGAGATGAAACTTGGAGTACCACATTTGCTATTCATCCATAATTTTATGGTTTAAATTGGCATCGGGAGAATAAGAGAGAGAGAGAAAAGGGTAATAGTTAGACATGTTGAGATTATAAAAGAGTGTCTTGATTGCTTCAATTTTGCGTTACCTTACCATTTCTTATATAGTTGTATAGAGTATATTATTAGAATATTGATTGAAATTTTCAGCCTCCAAACAACCCCGCCAACCCCCTTCCTCTGTCTCCTATAATTAAACCCGGCGGCCGGCGACCACCACCACCATTACGACGCGCGCGACGTCGACCAAAGCAAGCAACCAATTCCTCCTCCTCCTCCTCCTCCCTCCTCCTCTTCCTCCTCCTCCGCGTCGAGCGCCATGGCGAGACCCGCCATCGTGGCGGCGCCCGCGCTGCTGCTGCTGGCGCTGCTCATCGCGCTGGCCACCGGGGGAGCCGACGCGGCGCCGGGCGAGGTGCCGCTGAGCTGGGAGCTCGGGGTTGTCGGCGCCGACGACGCGTTCGGCTTCCCGGGTGAGGAGGCGGCGGACAGCGCCACCGCGGTGGTGCGGCGGGTGCTGCAGCAGGGGAGCTACATCAGCTACGGCGCGCTGCGGCGCGACACGACGCCGTGCTCCGTGCGCGGCGCGTCCTACTACAACTGCCAGCCCGGCGCGGAGGCCAACCCCTACTCCCGCGGCTGCTCCGCCATCACCCAGTGCAGGGGATGATCCATCCATCCAGCTGCCACCACCAAAACTGTTGAAATTGGGATTTGTGATTCAAAGTTCGTCTCGTCTACTCTATACATATTTTGTTTATTTTTGTCTTCTTTTATTGTTCGTCTCCTTTTGAAATGTGAACGAATTGGTAGGGATTGGTGCCCGCTAATCTAAAGTCAAGAGAGATGTACACTGTACATGTGTCCGGTACTCCTACTCTGTATCAATTATAAATAAATCGTGTATTCTCCTAATTTGATGGATGGATTCATCAATTCATCATTCATGGATGATTAGCTGTCCTGTCCTTTGTGAATTATTACTTCTTGTTCCAAATAGTCCATTTCTCTCCTTGCTTTCTTGTTGGTTGTAGTAGCTAGCATGCATGATATTAACAAGGGAAGATCAGGAAAGTAACATTTTAAAATGTGCCAATCGAAAAACACGGTCGCTTGTTAAAATTATCTCTCTTTTTTCCCCCAAGAAATATCGTTTGTTAAAATGATGTCCGGGCTATTTTCTACCATTGTGATCTTTGCGATAGTATCAAGCAAAATGACCATATTGCTAAATGATTATTTCATTGATTTTGCTTGGGTTTGTTCAAATCTGCAGTCCAGATTTGCTGAGAGAAAATCAAATGGAACAATTGTGGAATAAATATTATAGAGAGAGCAAGTCAGATTTGCTTGAAATATTGGCTCTCAAGGATAACATCTATAGTCAATAAAGCCTCACCAGAAAGTGATCACTGATCAGAGCAACCGTTCAGATTTGCACGCCATTCTATACGGTTTTCCATAGTGGTCATATTACATTTTTTCAGTCTTTGGTTTTGTTTTTGTTTTTGTTGGTTTTCAGTAGTGTTATGCTTTTGTCCAAGCACCTCCTGTAGCTTGTCTTCTGTCGCTGCTTGCCTGTAGTTTTCAGGTGGTGTGGTCTGGATGTGTGGTGTTCTAATTAAAGCAGTTGGTTTTATTTTGTTTTGAGCCTGCAGGTTAAGATGGAAAACCCAGCATTTTCTCTGTACTTTTCTGCATCACCAATTTAAGCTTTCAGTAAAGCCGGGCGTAATGCCTTTTGTCCAAAAATGTAAAGCCAAAAAATAGGCTTTTGGTTAACATTGCACCAAATATGTACATGCTCTCGATCAAAAAGAAAAAAATGAAAAGCATTGTCTAAAGCATGGCTGCTTGCATTCATTGCATATAGCGAGGTTTAGACTACATACACATGTGTCCAAAAAAAAACGATTACATACACATGGAGTTTATTTATGAATATATCCATTTATTGCTTTCATGCAAGCATAACAAGAACAATACTCACTGGCATTAGTTAGCTGCATGTCACCAAGAAATTAAGTCTAGTAACAGAATTTCAGTACAAACCAATTGATGCCATTGCAAACTGAATGGAAGCAACAACTACAGAAGCAAACGGAGACAACACAACAAAACCATCTAAATTCCCAAATCAATTTTCACCCCATTAGTATGTTCTTCAGGAATAAATTGCTCATTGCAAACCTTGTCATGTATCCTCTCATTGAGGACAACCTCGCCATGCATCTTCAGTTGCACAAAATTAGTTATATGTAACAATAAAGATTTGATATGTAAGTTTTAATATATGGGCAGAAAATTGACGCATGGTTTGGTATACCGTATTTTTTATATATAGAAAAACAGATCCAAGAATAGTTGTTGCTCATGTATTTTCATCCATGCTAACTCACTTGGCTTCAGATTTGACAACTCCAAAATCCTAGCTCCTACTGTAGCTACTCCAAAAGTGACCATACAAACATCAAATGGAATCGAGCTACCGGAAAATGTACACATATCAAGATCAAAATGCATTTGATCTACCCAAAAGTAAGGAAAACCAACAAAAGCATTCATAATTCATCAAACTAAATTGTGCTCCACGAAGTAACGCCAATGCTGTAAAATAAAAATGATAAGAAGGGACAGCACTGAATGTCTGAATCCACACCTAGATGCTTATATGTAACCATGCAGCATGCTAGATGCTACCCCCAAAATAAATGTGTAACTTACTGTCACTTACAACCATTCTATTGAACACATCATGTGAAACCTGCCACTCACTTGTACTACAAACGTCAAACAAAGAGAGCATTACGTACGCTATAGCTGCAGCCGGGAAGACGCGGGAAGAGGCAGACAGGCGCGCCATGGCAAGAGCCGCGACCGTGGCCGCCGTAGCCGCGGCGTGCGTCCTCGCGCTGGCCGCGGGGGCGGGCCAGGCGCCGGCCAGCTGGGAGCGGGAGCGGGAGCTGGGGATCGGCGGCATTAATAACCCCCGCATGAATGGCACCAAGTATAGGTTGTATTTGGGCTTGGATCCTTATGAGCACAGAATTTTAAGTTTCGACTAATGGTTAATCACGCAGACGCTCTCAGGTGGAAAGATGGAAAGGGCAAGGTGGCCGAGCAGAAACAGTCGTCGGCCAAGAAGGACGCACTGGAGTCTAGCAAGAAAAAGAAACAAAATCGCAAAAAGAAAAGAAAGCGTAAGGCGTAGATTGAAGTACAAGCGAACCCACCCCCAAAGCGCCCAGCTCTTCAAGGCGACAAACCAGTACTACAATGGTGCCCAATACACAATACATTGGGGGAGTGCTAGGTCATAAAAACAAGCTTTGGCGAAACAGGTGGCCCTCAAAAAAGGAAAGCGAGTTCGCGTTGTCGAGAGGAGCACTGATGATCTCTCGTCCGACGATGAACTCGTGTGACAGCAAGGACAAGGTTAACTACCATCAAGCTGCAAATTCAACAAGGGCATCTCATAAGTGGAGGTTGAAGTGAACCCAATGAACAAAACAAGCTTCAGTCTAACCTTGAAAATGCTCGGTCGGAGACAAAGAAGGACACCGAATTGGCAGCATCAAACTCGTCAGAGGATTTGAATGGCCAGCACCATCTCGTCCTTGTGGAGGAAGAAGACCTCCCACCACTAGGCAAATCTGCTGCACTTGTCGACCCAAACACCAGTGAATAACCTCGTATTAGCCATCTAGATGGCGTAAGGCAGAGAAGGTAAAGCAAGCTCTGTCTTTAGAGCTCAGGCTGACCATGGAAGGAGGCGGCTAAGACAAAGAATATGGATGTTGACATCTCCACTGAACTATACAGGAAATGGAAAGAGGACGTCATAATATGAGATAAACTCAATTTAAAATAGGATGAACTCGACTATAGGGATCTGATGGCTCCCTGGAAAATCACCCTCCTCTACCCTTGCTGGTGACTACCCGCCGCGAGAGACGGAGAGGAAAGAGACTAAGTTTTTAGATACTTCCTCCGTTCCACAATGTAAGACTTTCTAGCATTATCCAAATTCATATAAATGTTAATGAATCTAGACACATATAGAAAACATGTATATTGATCAATGGATTAATCTAGGTGAGTCTTAAAAGTCTTACAATATGAAATGTAGGGGTAGTAGTAAGTAGTAGTTATTGCGTTTCTCCTATAAGCTATACTCGCTCTATATATATATATATAAAAGTCTTTTTAACATAATGTTTGTTTAGGATGGAAATGGAGAAGATTTTTCTTTTTTTTTATGCTCACACTTTTTGAAAATTGCTAAACAGTGTTTTTTTTTAAAAAAAATGTTTTATAGAAAAATTTCTTTAAAAATCATACTAATTCTTTTTAAATTTTAAAATGATCAATACTCAGTTAATCATGTGCTTATGACTCACCTCATTTTACGTATCTTTTTAATTTTTTTTCTTTTCCCTTCTCTCAATCACTCCTAGTATATCTGGAGAGATTAAGGATAAAGAAAAAAAAAGAGAGGTGGGGATATAGGGTAATTGAGATAAGATGAGAAAGAAAAATAGAAGGTGATGGATGAAATAAGTAGTACTACTTAAAAGTCATTTATGTCTGTGAACAAATAGAGAGCAAAAATGTTTTGTACTCCTATTTATATTTGTGAACAATTCTGTTATTTTAACCTTTTATTTTTTTTTCTCGACAGGCACTGTCCACACCATCGGGTTAGTTAGAAGTCAGTGCAATGATGCACTGGTACGTACGCCTCCTGCTGAATGATGCGAGAGATCCGATGAGAGCGGCTATCGGAAGGAAGCAAGCTGCACACTTCCACTAGTCTTGGTCGGGACGGGCGATGTGGGCGGAGGTGACCGTGTGCGCGCGCGCGCGATGCGAATGTGCGAAGCTGACAGACCAGAGCAGCAAGCCCCTCGTCAGCCGCAGCCGCAGCCGCGGCCAGTGGAACGGCAAGATCATCGTTCATCGATCATCCAACCAACAACTAGCAACCGGAGTCTCCGTCTCCGGATTGAACCACCGTGCTTAATTATATGTTTTTTTTCCTTCAATTTTTCCACCACGAAGAGTGTTCTGAGACCATGGTCATCGGCGGCGAACCACCGGCCGCTGCGTCTGCGCTGCCGGCATGATCGCTGCGTCTGCCCTGCAGGCATTATTGCTGCCGCTTGCCGTTGCCGCAGTACTCAGCCAGAGCCAGGTCAGCCTGACGCGACCCACAAATACCAGAGAAAATACTATGCAGTGCAAATCACATATATATATATATATATATATATATATATATACTGAAAACCTGATAATTATTGTTGGATAAAAAAAATAAACGTTTAAGATTATTCTACGTCACTATGAGTAAAAGTTTAACTATATCTATGAGAAAAAAAATTTTACTCGTGATAACATGAACGAACCTAAGAACATTTATTTAGGATATGTTTGGTAGAGCTCCAACTCCTAAATTTAGCTCTACGAGTTGGGTCTGGAGTGGAGTTATGAAGCAGACTAAATCAAAATCTAACTTTCTAGTTAATTTCGTGAGATAGCTCTACCCAACTCTGATTTTATTTTTGTTGGAGCTAGAGACCGTTTAGCTGAGCTTTTTGAGCTGTGCCAAACACATGCCATTGGTTTCTGTATATTTTCGCCAAATACCGTATCCCTCCCGCGGCTCCGACTCCAAACCTAACGCGACGCGGTGCACGCAACTCGGTTGGGCACTTGGGCCCCACGCCGCAGCGCTCCCCTCTTCACGCGCATTCCTCCTCTACTATTCTCAATGTCTCTCTCTCTGTCTCTCTCTCTCCTATAATAAACCCACCACCCGCGCGCCGCCCGGCGACCACCACCACCACCATTAACGCTTAAACCACCCACCACCACCACCACCGAGCAAGCAAACACCAAAGGCAGGCAGGGCAAGAGGCGACCGAATCCGAAGGAGCCAATGGCGAAATCCCTACTGGCGGCGTCCGCGCTGCTGCTGGCGCTGCTCCTGGCGGTGGCCGGGGGAGCGGCGGCGGCGGGGGAGGTGCCGCTCGCCTGGGAGCTCGGGGTCGGCGGCGGCGGCGGCGGCGGCGAGGAGGACAGCTTCGGGTTCTCCTCCGAGGATGCGGCGGCCGACGGCGCCGCGGTGGTGAGGCGGGTGCTGCAGGGGCAGGGGTACATCAGCTACGGCGCGCTGCGGCGCGACACCACGCCGTGCTCCGTCCGCGGCGCCTCCTACTACAACTGCCGCCCTGGCGGCCAGGCCAACCCCTACTCCCGCGGCTGCTCCGCCATCACCCGCTGCCGCGGCTAACCCACCTCCGCCACCACCCGCTGCTCTGCTCAAACCGGGATTATTCAAAGTTCGTTTGCCTCGTCTTCTACTTTTTCTTTTTCTTTTTCCCCCCCTTTTCTTTCGTTTCCTTGTCGCTGTTTTAACCGTGAAAGAATTGGTCTGGGTCGGTGCCCACGAATCGAATCGAGTGAGAACTGAGAAGAAGATGTGTGCCCCCTGTATATTGCGATTGGATTCTTATATTATTATGAATTAAGTCGTGTATAAACTGATGGATTAGATTTGTCATTCGTTCAAGGATGATATGCTACTACTACCTGTCTGTTCTTTTGATTTTCACGAGTTCTTCTCCTAATTACTACTACTCCATTCGTTTGTTTCCAGATTAGTAACTACTCTTTTTTCCCCCTCTCCTGTTGCATCCTTGTTGCAAATCTAGTTTAGCAGGTTATGATACTGCTGAGGATTGGTTCATGGCCAATCTGCAGGTAGTATCGAATTGTAGAGAGAAAAATTGTCAAGCGAGTCAACTAGAACTTTTGTTCTCGAGGAATTAACAATGGCAACTCGTTTTTCTCTCTCCAAAATCTACCATTCCACGGTGCGGTTTACGAGGAGATTCTCAAGTGGTTCGAGGTGACTTCATATCCACTCCTTCCGATATGCTACTAGAGCTGGGATTGCTTGCCTTTAAGCTTCTCCTCTGATTCTCACAACCATCCCCTTTCGCCAAGAAAAGAACATTAGTAGAATCTTGCAGTTCAGTTCAAATTCAGAGCAATTCTTATCCCAGATTGCTATTCTGAACTCACAACCCATTAGTTTCTAGTTTCCACCATGTGTACTGATATTACTGCAGGATAATAAATTTTACAGGAATTCTCATGGCCAAATACCTAAATAAATTCAAAGATATAGTACAGTACGTGATTAACTATCGTAGTACTACTAGTATTTTCGTATAGTACTGGTACTATAGCTGGTACCAGACCGGCCTCCGGCTCCGGCAAGCCACATGGGGGGCATTAAATAGGATGAAAAACCCGGTGAGAGATGAGGCAGCAAATTCTCTGTCACGCACTTCACGTGTACTAATCAATTTCTCCGAACACGGATTTCCTCAACATAATGCTAGGAGCCCCATTGGTCAAATTTAAATTTTATTTGAAGATTTTAAGATATTTTTAACATAGTTTCTTTTTCAGTATTGACTTTTAAATCGCAAACAATACAAAGTTTTATCTATAAATTAATTTTTATTCAATATGGGCGACCAATCAGAGCCTAGCAGTTTTAAAATGCGATCAAACGCAACTGAATTGTTGTTACTAAATCCGTGCCAGCTGGCGTGGTTAGCCGAAATGGTCAACAGCTGATGGCTGCTGGCGCCGTTTGAGTTTCAGAATTTCGGAAGCTGCTTTCGAGCCTGGGCCAGAGGTGAGAAAGGAATAGAAATAGTACTATAGAATAGAATAGTGGTGGCTTTATTGGTTGGGATTGGTGGCCAATTGGGGATGGAACACTCTGTGATTAAAAAAGGCTTAATCACCGACACTGCGCTCCATCTCATGCTCATCGTCGTTGGTCTCTCTGCTTGATGATGATTAGCACTAGTGCTGCCTGCTGCTACTACTATTCGGAGGAAAGAAAGCAAAAGTGGCATACACATTCAGGAAGCAGGAGGGGGAGGTGCTCGTGGGGTCCTAGGAAAAGTACCTGTCATCGGTGGACAAAGGCTGTCAGCAAATTAGCATGCCCATCCAGCGCACAGTTGGGTTTGTTATGAGAGCAAGTCTAATAGTATAACCCACTGCTAACTCCAATTCATTTATAGTCAATCTAATAATCAGTTCATACAATAGTTGCTTACTATACTATTAATACATTGTCCCACCTATCATACACACAGTGTGTCTTGGAGTCCGTGCTGCAGCTGGCTATAGATCTGTAGCCCGCTGCTCTTCTCTCTCATCGTTTATCTCATTAAAATATGTTTATAGCTGGCTAATAGCCTGCTATTGTACCTGCTCTTATGGCTGTGTTTAGTTGGATCCAAAGTTTGGATTTTGGTTGAAATTGGAGATGATGTGACTGAAAAGTTGTGTGTATATGACAGGTTGATGTGATGGAAAATGACTTAAGATTGGATCCAAACTTTGGATGTAAACACAGCCTATTACAACGACACTTACGACATCTGCATTTCATATAGTACCACCATACATATACTCGTATGTTTATATACATCGTCATAATGATGCATGCTTGAAACCATTTAAATGATTTATATCACTATATTATGATATCTGCATTTCACATAGTACCACCATACATATACTCGTATGCTTATATACATCGTCATGATGATGCATGCTTAAAACCATTTAAATGATTTATACCACTATATAAAGATTCGTGTACTCCCTCCTTTCAAAAGTCTAATTCTTATTTTTTTTCACCAAGATCAAGATGTAGTTAATTCATTCATCATGTGACAAAACCAATAAACATGTAACCACTAAGTACTAAAATGATTTTTTGGTTCTGATCAAGAATTTAATATAGCACATAGTGACTATAAACGTTTGGAAAAACCAAAAAATGAAATAAGACTTAAACTTTTGGAAGGAGGGAGCACTTATTTATATGATTTTATCATTTCAATGATTTTAGAGCCAATTACATGCTTATAAACGGAGGGAATCTAAATAATTCAAAATTTAAAAATTAACAAACTAAGTGACTTAGAGAAAATTCTCTTGACTGAACGTTATTGTTTGCTAAACAACGTAGAAATCCTTATATTTTTTAATAGTGCAAATATAATTCGGACCAGAGGGAATAGTAGGTTTTTGATGAGAGGCTCTCTTCTTGTTTTTTATAAAAAAAGATAATAATGGATTAAAAAAAAGCAAAAAGAGAGGTTTCATTTTCTGAGTACTTTGTTGAGTCCTTTTCTGTTGGCAGCAAAACGATTCGGTTGCTGCTGACTTGCCGTGTTGGTGCGGCGTCGCTCTCGTGCTCGCTGTTGGAATATGTAAGATGGATGGATGCCCTGCTCGCCTTGGAACATGGGGCTTTTTTCTTCCAGCGGTTGGGTGGACTTCGTCTGTCTGTGTCCTGACGATCGATCAATCGCCTTCTCCGACAGAGACGCGAATTCAGTTTAATTTCAGTTTCAGTTTTCTCATCCTGGAATGCTATTAGAATCTCCAAGTAGCGAATTGAGCGTCATCTTGGTGATTGAGACGGATCGAGGGATGTACTGTATCTAAGGTGGGTAGTGTTCAGCACGGTTCATCAAAGCTGTTGTCGGATTGGAAACCGCTCCTAGTTTCCCCGGTTTTGATGAAAACTGTTCAAAAACTTATGATATTTGATAATTTTTATAAAAAAACTTGAAGTTCACTTTGATTTTTTTAAAGTATAATGGCTTATATAAACCGAGCGATTAGTCAATTCAAGAAGGCTAGAAACCTCCAAATTCCGTAAAAATCAAGCAGTTTTCATCGGTTTTTGTGAACCGTGGCGACTGGTGTTCAGTTGGATCAGGGTCTTCGCCAAAATGGTCAGTTTTCACTGGTGCCACCCTTCAGAATTTAAACCATATATGACACCTACAGCCAAACTCCTCTTTCATTGATTTTTTTATTGTGTTTTATAACCAAACGGAAGTTTATGTTAATAATCCAATTGAAACTTGAAGATTTGGTTATGCTGAAAGTTTCCACTCCATCCAAAAATAATCCACACCAAATGGCAACCGGCATGATTATGAGAATAAAGAGTCTTCCCAACAGAATGAACAAAGAGCAAGTTTGTTGCTTTCGTGCTCGCTGTTGGAATATGTAGTTTCTTCTTTGAAATGTGGATGAATTTTGAAATTTCGGTGATTTGGGTAATTTGGCCTTGAAAAGATTTTTCAGATTTTAGATGCCTTAAATTGAAATCCTATGCCACGTGCAATTTTAGTCCATTTTAGAATCAATTTTATAGTTATATTTGGTTTTATTTTATTTTATTTAGGCAAAATTAGTTCCATAACATTTAAAGATTACAATTTCAGTCATATAGCACCGAAAGTTCTCCGCAGCATCGTGATGACGTGGACGAATCTCGGCCATTGGATTTATTTTGGAGGGCCGAGATTCACCCTATATCACCTTGTGATATACCTACCATATGTCACCCAATCCCAATCCCCTTGGTTCTGATACCATATTTGTTTGTACCAACTAGAGATCCTGGACAATTCACCAATACTCAACGCTTTCCCCCTCCCATATCACGCATAAGTTCACCCAGAATCCACAGCCATCCAGCTCACTTGGATAAACTGTTTTGTCCAAACAAGTTTTCTGTTGATTCTTTTTTTTGGAAGCCATTTGGCGTGTTTTATTGATATGGGTGGCCATCAACCCAATTACAAGAACTCTTTAAATTAGACGCATGTTTAGCTAGAACTTGTGCCACAACATTGGCTTCCCTATTACAGGGCTTAACAGAAACTTCTACAAAATCACAAATCAAAATATTGCATCAGTAAAAAATCACTACCAAAGTTGCCGAAAGCCTCCATCTTGCATCGTTTCCAGTTTTCCACCACTTGCAAGCAATCTGTTTGGGTAATAATATTTTGACAACCAATCTGCTGGGCAAGAACGAGTCCTTACTTGAGGGCGTAGGCTTCTGCCATCGTTGCATCAGCAACATGAGGCAAGTGCCTGCAAGAACCAGCTATAAAATTTCCTTGTGCATCTCATATGACTGCTCCAGCTCGTCCTATACTCGAAACAATGTCAAAAGAAGCATCCACATTTACCTTGAGAATTCCTTTAGGCGGTTTATGCCACCCTTTCCGTGGTTTTGCATCCGGTTTTTCCTTGCCATTTTATAATTTAGTGTAAGAGCAACAATAGATATAGCTGATCTAGCAGCCATCTGAATCATTTCACCATTCACCATTTGTCTCCTTTCCCAACAATAAGTTGTGTTGATTTACAAGTGAAAACTTTTTAGCGTCACTTCATGAATCCTGCAAAAGCAAGTAAAAATTTCATGTTGATTCAGAGGAGGCCATTCTTCTCCTTGGATGCTTAAGTTGGGGGAGTGAGATTGTGAGAATATACCGGACGGCAGTTGAGGTTGCTGACCACCTCATCGTCATCAAGCGTCTCAGTATCAAACATGTAAGCTAGTCCCCAATTTCAAGAGTTCGATCTTGATCTCCAACGCGATGACATTGGTATCACCAACTCCTCAATATTATCTTCAAGATCGAAGGAAGCATTTTTTAGGTTTTTTCTTTCTATATAAGGCATGTTAAACAAAACCAGAATAAACTAGACTAACTTTGCGCTGAACAGTAATGAGTAAGTGATACATACGACAAATGTGTTCCCGGCTACAGTTCTTTTTGAAGCGATCCTAGCTGCATGTGGAGAAGTGACCATGGCGAGGCAACCAATGTGGAATCTTCTCTCCACATCTTGAACCATTGCTCATTTGATATCGGCTAAGTAACCTGAGAGTAAAGTAATTGAAGAGCAATAATAATTTTTTTTAAAAAAATCAAACATACATCCTGAAGTCGTTGAGGAAGAAACATCAAACAGCTATCTGTCAGAGTTCAAGAAATCTATTGAGAAGAAAGAAATGAGTAACTGAATATCGCAACAGGCCAACAGCTAAAAAGATACTGCCACTGACAAGGCACCCACAAATCTTCAACAATCTTGCCACTTCGATGCAAGCATCAGTTCTCAGTTCCAGCCAGACATCCCTAAGTTAAAACTTAATGTTTCAAGTGTGCGCTCAGGGAGAAATAAAATACAAGAGATGGGAATGCACATCTTATATAGGATGAAGCACTGTTGGGTTACTTGATACTTGTTCTTTTCCATCCAATGCAAGGATTCTGATAGTTATGATGCAATTTATTTATTTTACACACCTGTAATCAAGTCTTGTGACTAGTCGTCAGGGAGTCAGGGAGTATGACGCACGAATCGACTTGTTGGCAGCAGAAGACGCAATGGAGCAAAGGCAGCAACAGTGAATCGCTTGGGAGGCTTGGCCTACCAGGCCCGCTATTACTGATTGGAAGGTAGATGAGCGGAGAGCTGCATCGGTTCCATCAGGCACAGCACATAGTAACATATTAGCAGTAGAAGTAATAGCTATGTATAGTAATAGCTAGATATGGTAGTCTCCAAGACAGTAGAGGGTATCTCAACTCGACTTTATGACTTAAGAACCATGATTTTACAGTTGAGCGAAATGGTTTTTCTTCCCGTCATTGCAACGGAAGTCAACTAAAATTAAAGTTCATAGAAACTAATCTTCCTGATATACTCAATCACATATTGATAACCTGAGTTTAATTCATCCAATAAAACTAATATACTCATCCACCTTTTTTTGCATAAATAAATCCAAATAAATACCAGGGTTTCACCCTAATTTGCTCAAATCAACCATCAAAATAACAAAATGAGGGGAACAAGGGAGAATATACCTTCCAACACGATCTCCATGTGAAGTCCACAGAAAACCCTTTGATTTGGGGCTAATTTGAGAGGGATTTGAGGGTCATGCACCTCTGTTCTTTGCATGAGGGAGGAGGGCAGGCAGAGAGTGGGATAGACCACTACAGCCTCAATCCATGATTGTGTTGCCCCAGGATCAGCGCCTACGAGCTTGGAGCTGACCCCTCTACAATGTAATGTAAGTCTCCAGGAAGTGTCATTCTGCCAACTGGTTTGACCTGGCACTGCATAATCGATAATAACCCAAGGTCCATTCCTGCGATAGTTTTTGCATGGGTCCATTTGTAAAGTAAGAATTTCAAACAGGCCATAGTGAAAAATTCCCACACCATAAGTGCAACATGCCGACGTCAGGGCATTCCTTGCTCCATTGATTCAATCAAACTAGAACCAGGATGTTTCTTTAACCCACTTAAATCAGCTCTGGCCTTTGTATTAGCAACTTCGTTCCACTGCCCTTCCTGAGCATATACTTCTGAAATCAGAGCATAAATACCTGGATTCTGAGGTCCATGCTCAAGGAGCTCTTTGCTAATAGCATGTGCAAGTCGTGTATTTCCATGAGTTCTGCAAGCAGAGAGCAGAGCACAAAATATAGTGGATTTATCTTTTAAGGTAGATAGCTTTATAAATTTGTATCCATCTTCTAGATGCCCAGCACGACCCAACAAGTCAACCATGCAACCGTAATGCTCTTCCTGTGGAAGAACTGAATATACTGAGGTCATGGAATTGAAAATACGCCAACCATCCTTGACAAGACCAGCATGGCTGCAAGCAGTAAGCACAGTGGAGAATGTTAACTCATCAGGCTGAATGTTTTCTTCTTCCATTTGCTTGAACATTTCAAGCACGTTAATATGGAATCCATGCATTGCATAAGCACTGATCATTGCATTCCAAGTATCCAAGTTTCTATATTTCAAACTAAAGAACAAACCTGCTGACAAATCCAGCTTTCCACACTTGGCATATGCACTTATCAATGAATTAGCAGTAATCTTATCTTTCTCCAACAAGGAACGGTAAACAAAACAATGAATTTGTTTTAGACCATTTAGATGTCCAAGATCAGAAACAGCCTGAACTGCAGTTACAAGAGAAACAGAATCAGGTTTCTCCCCATATTTTTGCATCACTTGAAATAATTGAACCACCTCATCTGCATGTCCATTGGATAAGCAACCTTTCATCATGGCTGTCCATGAAACCAAGTTTTTCTTTTCCAATGAGTCAAATATAGCCCTTGCTGCTGCAATTTTTCCGCAGGCTGAATACATATATAGAATTTGATTTTCAACGTCCACATCTGAACAAAACCCATGCCTAATTGCAAAACCATGGATCCATCTCCCTCTAACTAAATCTCTTTGGTCAGCAAAAGCAGCAAGCAGGCTAAGAACAGTTGCAAAATCTGGAGCAACACCTTCTGCCATCATGTAATTGAGTAATGAGGTGGCCTCATTGGCCATGTCATTTTGTAGGTAACCATAAATCATCGCGTTATAGGATACAACATCTTTAATAATAAGTTGATCAAAGAGATACTTCGATCTCATGACTCTTGTGCATTTGGTGTACACCTCAATAAGTGCAGTGGTCAAAACAACATCCATAGGTATAAATCTTCTTATGAAGTAGGCATGAATACTAGCAGCAAAGCAAAAATAGCATAGCTCAGCACAGGCTGAAAGCACGTTTGCAAAAGTGACAGAATCTGGAGTTACTTTATGCTCATGCAGCATCACAGGCAAATACTGGATTGCATTGAAACTCTGTCCAGCTCTATTAAGACCAGAAAGCAGAGCATTCCATGAAGCAACAGTTCCCTTTGAATTTTGCAGAACAGTAGCCGCTGACTGATAAGCTCCACATCGAGTATAAAAGTTCACAATGCTGGTCTCTAGAATATCATCTGAGACACCAATTGCTCTCCTTATGGAGTAGCAATGGAGAGATTTACCCTCCTGAAGTGCTCCCAGATTCCCAGCTATTTGCAGTAAGCTTACCAGAGTCACACGGTTTACTTCCAAGTTGTTCTGCAGCATATCAGTGGCAATTTCAAATGCGTTCCATGCAATTGAATCCACAGTTTCTGAATAACCAGTGATCATCGAAGTGTAAGCAACAATGTCCTTGTTGATGATCTCTTCAAACACTCCACGTGAATCATTCGTCTTGCTAAACTTGGAGTATAAGCCAATGAGGGAGGAGCCGACGAATTTATTCCCAGACAGAGCAAGCTTAAGTGAATCTGCATGCACTCCTTTACCCAAGTACAGATTCTTAAGCTCAGTGCAGCTTTTCATAACAAAAGTAATAGTTTTCCCATTGAAACCAATCTGGTTCAATTTCAATCTCTTATACAAAATTATAACCTCCTCCGGATAACCTGCTCTAAAATAATCAACCATGGCTGAATTCCACAGGGAAATATCATCGTTTACAATTTTCTGAAAAACAAGCCTTGACTCATGCAATGCACCTAAATTAGCATAACAACTCAGAATCTTAGAGCCAAGAATCACATCCCAGCAAAGTCCATGTGTGAAAACATTAGCGTGGATCTTCTTTAGAAACCTAACATCTGCACAGCCTTGGAACAACAGAGCAGACTTGTCAAAATTATGTTTCTTGCTAGATAATGAATTTGTGTTGGGAGTGGATCCTGATAGCCACCTACTCAGCTTCAGCAGTGCAACTTTATTGAACTTTGAACTAGTGTTTCCAGCAAAATTCCTCACAAGAATTGATAGCATCGTCATGGTTGTAGATGCCAGAAAAATGAATATGAGTAACTAATTGGCTTCAAATTCACAAACATGTTTTGCTTTTATTGCACCTCCAAGGATAGACTATTCACCTGAACCCGATCAACAGTAGGGGACATATAATCAGTGAGCTGTAGTACAGCAACACAAAAAATGATAGAGAATCACATTAAAATTAAGCCAGAATTCCAGTTATGATGTACACAACAAACAAGTGAAGTCCAGGGGCGGATCCAACTTGGGACATGGGGGTTCAGTTGAACCCCCAAACTTTTGGGTGAACAAACAAACTGTTATTACCTGAATTATTTAAGAGAGGTTTAAGGCTATCAAATTAAGGAGGAGGAGAAGATCTAGAAGAGAAGCTAGTAGGGTTCACGAACGCAAGCAAATTCCAGTCCCGGTGGGGTGGGAGAGAGAGAGAGATGAATCAGAAAGAGGACGCACCAGGATCCCCTCCCCTCCGCTGCGATGGAGATCGCCGCCCGGCCCTCCCCTGTTCAGCCGCGACTCGTCTTGGCGGCGGCGCAACGAGGCAAGGAGCGGAGGAGACAACGAGAGGTACTCGACTACTCTGCCCTTATCTCAATATTTTTACTTACCACTCTCTACGTCCTAATAGTTTTACAAGGTTCACATCCAACATTTAACTTTTTATCTTATTTAAAAATTTGAAAATTTTTTAAAAACGGACGGTCAAAAGTTCGACACGGATTTTCACGGCTACACTTATTAGGGACAAGGTAGTATTTTAAAACTAGCTAGTGTTATTTCTTTATATAACTGGTGACCCATGTATCATCAATACTTAGGAAAAAATTAAACGATTGTGTCGACAACAAATTCCTCATACCACCAGCAACCGCTAACTGCCACTCTACGCACCGCCATCACTGCTCTTTCTCCATGAATCACCATCGTTCTTCTCCTTTGCCTTTACATGCGCAGCCTTAACCTCTAGTAACCGACAAGTCTTTTTCTCCTCCCCTATCGTGATGCGCACTATTGTTATCGTTGCCATTGAGGTCGGAGATGTCGGGCTTGCAGGGACTTTGGAAGGCAGGAGCTGACCCGACGAAGAACGAAGGCGCTATATCCGGGCTCTTTCTTGCTAGATCTATCGGTTATCCAACTGTCGTATGGATAAAGAAAATGGAGAGAGAGAAAGAGAGAGAGTTAATGTGCGAAGTGATTACTGAGTCACCGGACTTGGAGATGGATAGAATATGGTGGTCTAAATTAAAATGTAAAGTTAGCTATTGTGTAAATGAAAATGGTTAAATGATACCATTATATGAAAACTTTTAAGAATTTTTAAGAATACATAGTATGGATTGTAATTTACTTCCTTTGTCAAAAAAACGAATGTAGAACTGGTGTGGCACATTCTAGTACAACAAATCTGAACATATGTATGTCTAGATTCGTTTTACTAGGATGTGTCACATCCAATCCTAGGTTAGTTTTTTATGGGACGAAGGGAGTACTTTTTTTTTTCTCTAGCACAATTAAAGATAATTGTCCATTACCCGATAGTCTCGTGATATGCTAAGTATGATTACACCGCTGTACTTCTCTATAACTAATAATCTTATGATATGTTGATACATGACGATACAGACTTCTACTAACACAGGCTGATTAACTATGGTTAGATAGATTCCACTAAAAGATGATAAAAATAATACCATCATTTTTGCTTAATAATAAAGCATTCGACTCTTTTCTCATTGTATTATACTGCCTCTGTTTTTTAATAGATGATGCCGTTGACTTTTTCTCACATGTTTGACTATTCGTCATATTCAAAAATTTTATGCGAATGTATAAGATATAAATCACACTTAAAGTACTATGAGTGATAAAACAACTCATAACAAAATTAATTATAATTATGTAAATTTTTTGAATAAGACGAGAGATCAAACATGTGAGAAAAAGTCAATGGCGTCATCTATTAAAAAACGGAGGTAGTATATGATAACTACATTAGTACGTATTTCTGTAATTCTTTCATATTGTTTTTTATTTTCTACATATATGTTAATTTGGACTAATATATTTCTCATAATTAAATAGATAATACATCATTTTTCCATATTTCTCCTATAAAACAGAATAGGGCATTTTATAATTTGAAAATTATATTATAAGTGTATGTAATTTAATGTGTAAGATATGGACTTATAGTATAAGATTTAACTTTTTCTAAAAATGAATGCCGCATCATGGTAGATAGGTAGTTAACTGAACAACCATAAAAAATAGAGACAATCCATTGTGTGTCACTGATTTTGTCCCTGCTCTACAATATGTCATTGGGTTTGTCAAGTTCTAATATGGCATCGCATTTTGCTTAACTTCTATAATATACCATCGTCGTCTAGTTAGCCTCCGTTAGCATTATACAATTTTATTATACAGATTGTAAAACTTAAAGAGTTTGAGATGGGCAACTTCTCTGCCTAGTTTATAATATGATATTTCGGAATTTTCGGCCAAATTTTGGAAAATTTTGTCCTAGGGATATTTCAATCATTAGGACAAAATTATACAGTACTAACGGAATCTAAATGGACGGCGATGGTATATTATAGAATTTAAGCAAAATACAATGACATGCTGTAGAACTTAACAAACTCAGTGGCATATTATAGAACAAGGACAAAGTCAGCGGCACAGAATGGACTCTCTCTAAAAATAATCTAGTTAAATTGTTTCTTTTTTATCCAAAACATAACATCTTTTACCTAAATATGTTCAGAGAACTTCGAAAGAAGTAAGAAAAAGAGTAGGTTAGTCACTAGCCCAAACACATGAGGGTGGTTGCTCACATCCATGGTATGGTATATACTCATATTAATCGATAATACACTAATATTATTAAAATTGTTCTTTGTAGTGAATGGTGTGAAACTAAAAACTTTAACCCTATATTCTTCTGTTGTTCCATCTTCTTCTTTTTTTTCTCATTCTTATTTATTTTTGATAATATTATTGCTACAGACAGCACTATTACTTACACATGAATACTAAGCAGCTAGCTCATGTGTGTATGCTCCGTAATATATATTACCTATGTTTTTACATGAGGAATAATAACTATTATCTTTGTTAATGATATTGTATTTATAAAAGGTATATGACTAGTGTTTTTTTAAGAGGAAGATATTTTTGCTAAATATAATATAGAATGCTATAAAGGTTAATAATATTAAACGATATAGTCATATAATTTTTTTTGGATAAACTAGTGATCAACACTTGTTATGAATCCAATGATCATAATGCACTATATATATATATATATATATATATATATATATATATATATATATTGTTCAAGTGAGTTGTGACATTCACTATTTACTAGTTACATGCCTATGCATTACAATGAGATCTACATATAAAAATAAGATTTAGTTTATTTCTAGTCTGGTTTTTATGATGTATTGGATTTTTTTACATTTCTTTAGAAATAATATTATATAACAATTAAATAATTTATTGTTTTATAAATAAATTATTTTATCGTATCCCATCTATAAAATCCTTCGTCCGCCACTAGTGAAGTCACAATCTCTCCAGGGCATTACCACATGCCATGAGTATGAAATAGTACCACAATAATGCAGATAGTTGCAATACAATAATTAGCTTATAAGCATGTAGATATGTAGAATGAATAAATTTTGGGCAGGCTGGTGCTATCATATTAGTTCCTAATATTTTTATTTCGAGTCGAAGCACCTGCAACATGGTTTCTTGGATTACATCGTACAATCCTTCCTTATGACTTAGCATCAAATATTCCAATACGCAAATCGCTGGTTTTCGAAGCAACTAGCCATTCAATACAATGAGAATGTAAAATAAAATTTTGTGGAAATGAGGATGCACGGAGAATGGCCAGGCTTATAAGCTACACCGCCAACCAAGTTAATGGCAGGTTGGCAACAACTGAAGTAGCACAGCGAATCGCTCAAAAAATGGCACGAATCAAGGCTACATCCATACGAAATCAAGAAGCCAGGAACTCACCCCTCAGTCCGACCAAAGGGGATGGGATCTTCTTCACGGGTTTAGACCGGGGAGGTCTCGGAGGCGTCGGCGAGTCGGGGGAGGGCGGCCGCGGTGTATAGCACTGGGGAAGATGAGACCTCGGGCGGCACCACGAACTGAGAGAGAAGAGGGGCGGCGCGGCGGACACCGGAGGAGCGGGCACCGGGGCAACAATGGCACTGACGCAGGCCGGACATATAAATCGCGCTTGGGCCGTGCGTTACGATGCGGATTGAGAGCCCAACCCACCCGCTATTTTTGTTCTCTCCACGACTTTGTTCTCTCGATCGGCTGGATCAGGGACCAGAGTTAGCTACCGTGTTAATTCCAAGATAAAAAAAACATGTATTAGGCTTGTTGGGTTGCATACATCCCACTACTTTTGCACAATAATTGTGATTTCCCCTTGTTTTTAATTGATTTATCACATAGTCCAAATATGACATGAATTTTGAAATTTTTTTTGACAAAGACAGCATTTCAACAATATTTGGGGCAATTGTCACTACTACAATCCGGATTTTTCCATGTGGATGATTTTAATTTTCGCGTGCGGAGGATTTGTCCGTATGGAAGAAATCGTCTGGGGAAATCCCAATTTTTTTCGTGCGGGCGACGCACCCGCACGGGAAAACAAAAAATCAAAAAAAAAAAACAAACCCCAACCCTAATCCCCACCGCCGCCGCCGCCGCCGCCGGCACCGTCATCCTAGCCGAGGCTCGCCGCCGTCGCCCCCGCGGTCGCCGGCGACGGATCCACCGCCCGCTACCGTCACCGACGCCTGATCCGCCGCCCGTGCGCTCTCATCGCCAACGGGGAGGGGAGGGGAGGGGAGAGGGAGGAGAGGAGCCGCGGGCCCGTTGTCGCCGCTTGCGCCCTCCGCCTCCACCGCCGCCCCCATGCCTCCCCGGCCCTCCGCTGGATCTGCAAGGGGAGGGAGGGGGAGGGGAGCCGAGGGGAGAGGGAGGAGAGGAGCCGCGGGCCCGTTGTCGCCGCTTGCGCCCGCCGCCTCCACCGCCGCCCCCATGCCTCCCCGGCCAAGGGGAGGGAGGGGGAGGGGAGCCGAGGGGAGGGGGGATGCGTGGTTAATAAATAAAAGAGAGACTTTTTTCCCCGAGGAACCAGACTTAGGCGCGCGGATGGGAGAAAACACGAAATTTTTGAAGTGGTAGGAAGGAAACTACGTTTTCCGTGCGGTTCTCTTAATAGATCCGTACGGGAAAATCGGCCCATTTTCGCGTGCGGTCCATTTAAGAGGATCGTATGGGAAATTCGATTTTCCTGTGCGATCCTCTTAAATGGAGCGCATGCGAAAATAGACCGATTTTCCCATGCGGATATAATTACCGCCCGCATGTAATTTAAATGGGTCCCTGTCCAGGAAAATCATTTGTGTAGTAGTGTGTGTTCTTGACTTAATCAATACTGACCGGAGGGCATGTATACCACTGCTACTGTGTTGGGCCCATCAACGGCTGCAAGTCAGCAAGTGGGGATGTTGCGCGCGGCACACACCAATAGCATGAAGCCGACCGACTTGG